CGAAGAAGGCGAGCCGTAGTAAGGGAAAAGGCAAATAGTAGAGGCTATCTCCTCCTCTAGGTAGTATAATAGTACTAAAGCGAAGAAGGCGAGCCGTAGTAAGGGAAAAGGCAAATAGTAGAGGCTATCTCCTCCTCTAGGTAGTATAATAGTACTAAAGTGGTTTTAGAGGTAGGTATAGAGCTAGCTCTAGAGCTTATTATTTCTTTCTCTCTCCCCTTTTCCTTTTATAAGATATTCTATTTCCTTTATAGAACTAAATTAATAATCGGAGTATATACCCTTTCTCTAGTACTTTTTTTAATGATACGGCGACCACCGAGATCTACACTCTTTCCCTACACGACGCTCTTCCGATCTATTTCTTTCTCTCTCCCCTTTTCCTTTTATAAGATATTCTATTTCYTTTATAGAACTAAATTAATAATCGGAGTATATACCCTTTCTCTAGTACTATTATACGGCTACTATTTATAGAGAGAAGGGTTTTATCTCGGTAGAATGCAGGTGTCCCTTTTTCTATACTTTATATTTACTTTACTTATTTTTGAAAATAAGACTATATCGCTATTCCGCCTCTTATATTCCTCGAGTATACTATTATTCCCTTTTACTATTATACGCATACTCCGTAAGGAGAAAGCACAAGATATTTGTAAAATAGCTAAGTCCCCGTTTTATTTACTTTATATATTCTCTCCTAAGTAATAATACCTACCGGGGAGCGAGTACGTATATTACGTATTACTTACTTCCGACCGGTATAAGTAGTATTAGGTACTATTATATATATGCTAGACAGAGCTTTATAGTAGTAACTATAAAACAGCACTCTCTTTTAAATTCCTTTTCCTTATACCTTTACTAATATTCTACGGCATTAAATATAGTAATTAACATCCTTTTACTATATTAATACCTCTTCCCTCCTCTGCCCCTCCCCGTATAAAGCGCGACTACTACGATAGCGACTATAGAGTTCCGGCTATAGTTGCTTAACCTTAGTATCGATAAAGTAGGAAGGCGTAGAGTCGACTACCGTAGAACTAAAGTAAGAGTTAAAACGCTAGACAATATCTTTAGGACATTTAGACTAACTAGTATAAAATAGCTCCGAGATGCTAGCCTTCTCTTTACCCTACTCCTTTAAGACGAGATAGACGATAAGGCTAGCTACCGGTTTTCGATAAGGGATCCTACGTAGGACCTAGCTAAGCGTATTAAGTATCGTTAGTTATATATAACCTCTCTACTTATCTAGAGCCGGTTAGTACAATTATTTCTAGTTAAGGTCTAAGCATCCTTACTAATAGATTCGTAGCGGTAGCGTTATAGGTACTAGCGTATACCCTACTACTAGCGGGCTATATACCCGGTGCCTAGCGGGTAAGGGCCCGTTCTAGGTACGAGACCTCTATTATTCTCCCGTATAAAGATACTATATACTAATAGAGGYAGYACTATATAATCTAGCRCAATTACTTCTATAATTRTTRCGGAAATTRYAAGTTTTAAGATTAGGCGACCGAATRTAGTTATAATATCTAGAACGAGTATTTAGACTCGTCGATAGAGGAGGAGGTAGAGAAGCTACTAAGTAYAATCCTTAGTAAGACTAGAACGAGAAGCATATCGGCGCTAGCGCGTACGGCTAGGATAGTAGAGTATTATATTAAGCCCGAGGTAGAGCCTAAGAAGAGGGTACGGAAGAGTAYTAGAGGAGGCAGAAAGTAGAGACTACCTTCTCCGGCGGGCTATATAATAGTATCTTAGTAGCGGTTAGGGTTTATAGAGCATAATTCGAGAGAAATGTAATTTTAATTTAGCTCCTTGTTCCTCCTTCTAAGATCGGCATTTTCTAATTATTAATCTAAAATATATATCTAGGTGTCCTTGCTTTCTCTCTATGTATCTCTACCGTACAATTAGTAGAGAGAGTTATCGTACTTAAGACATTTATAATATAGCTAATCCTTAATATTAAAAACCTCCTTCCTAAATAGGCAATATTTTAAAATATTTTAAGGATTAGCTCTACGGATCCTAAAAGTATAAAGCCTTTCCCTATATCTATTATATATATATTTCCCGYAGGGGAATAATTACCTTACTATTATTACTTCGTAACCGARTACTAACGATAATCGCATATATCTAGGTTATCCGCCGAATACGCGGTAATAATAGGACCCGGGGAGCGTAGAGTGCACCTAATAAGTRATTTATATAACTTTGTACGCGTGCGGGTAATGCCTATAAGGAGTATAAGACTACTGCTTATATTCCTTCTTTATCTTTAAAYACGATCTACCTTACTTTAAYATCTAATATATTCTTTAAYACTCCTAYACCTTACTATACCCTCTAACCTCCTCCCTATCTCCTAGTATAAAGCAGAATTACTACTAAATAGCTCCCTATATRCCTAAATCTATCGACGCTAGCCTAGCTAGCCTAGAGCTATAGCGCTAGATYRACGTTCGTAGCGATAAGGTAAGAGGTAAAAGGTTAGATAATAGCGCTTAGGACTRCGAGACTAACTAGTAYAAACTAGCTCTAAGTAGCCGGCTTCTAGTTCGAYCTTATAGCTAGCGAGCTAATAGATAAGGCTAAAGGCTCYCTCTTCCTCTACCGYACCCCCGACTTCCYCCCGATAAAGTTCGACTAGACTATAATAGCTRCTCTCCTTATCTAGAGCCGGTTAGTATAATAGCTCCTAGAATTAATACCGGTAGCTAATAGCACTATAGCGGAGTTAACTAGTATAACAATCGGACGAGRRGTAGAAATAACGAGCGATACGGCCTATATATCTAGTAGAAGGGCCCGTTTAAGGTATGTCTTATTACGAGCAGCCCGTATAATAGTAGYAGAGGCTAATAATAGTAGGAGTRCGTAGTCGCGAAGGGYAGTAAGAACGATGCCTACGGAAATTACGTATATYRGAATGTCTTTAGTAAGGGTAATAAGTRCACCCTAGATCGGACAAACAGGTCTTAAATAAGTGCTACGACCTTCTCTCTCTACTTTRTACGGGGGGTTTAATRCGAGCRATAGTGCGTTAAATAAGTTTAAATATATAGTAGATTTTTATTTTTAGTTTTCTTAACTTTTAGAACCTCTAAATATCTTTAAATTGCATTTAAATCCTTCTTTACGACCTTTTTACCTACAAATATCCCTTCGCTCTATATAATTATGCTACTCTTATTTACTATAGTCGAACATGCCGTAGTCTACTATCCTACTATTAAGAAGACGCTACCCTAACCCTAACCCGGTCCTATTTTTGCCGAGGTTTCTACTATTACGCTACTTGCTTATTACCTTCTATATCTTCCCCCTTCTATTCTACCTATTATACGGCTAGCGCTATTATTATATATAACTATAGGACGTCTACCTAACATTTTAGCGGAGCTCCGACCTAAGGTTATTAAGCTATAGAACGATACTATAAGCATTACGGAGATATAGGTATACCTCGAGACGTAAAACGTCGTCGCCTCCGAACGTACGATCCGTATAATCGTATCGCTTAATAGTAGGAATCGCCGCTAGTCCCTAATCGCCGACCTTCGTAACGACCTCTCCCTCTATATCCGGATCGCCGACCTCTTTTACCTCTAAGCGTTACTAGATCCGTTTATTATAGACGAATTAAAGAAGGACGGTTACGATATTAAACATACTACCTTTATACGGCTACGTCGGCAGCTCGGCCTTAAGTTACGTATCCGTAATATAGAGTTTACGGAGCGTAAGAACGAGTTCCTTAATCTCGTCGTAAAGGAGCTTAATCGCTCTAAGATCGATACGTATAGTAAGGTTCTCCTACAAACATACTTCCGTATAACCGACCGTATAAGGATTACGCTTAGCAGGTAGGTACAACAGTACGCCTTATAGTTTCGGATTATACTACTACTCCTATATATAG